CTGGAGTGTTTTTTTCTTAGTTTTTTTTATCTGCATCCTTTGACTTTTTATGTTATGTTGGGTCATTTTCATCCACTCTTGACTGATTTTGAGGCTTAACTTGGTCACAGCTTTCTCTGATTCAGCAAATGGAATTATTTTTGGTGATAAATCTTATTTTGAAACATTTTAAGACAATCTTAACCTAAAAATACACATTTTTTTAATATTAATATATTTATATAATATATTTAATATTAAAAAAGCTAAATATATACATAATGTTTGTAATTTTTGCAATATTTTACATAATTTTAAAAGTATTATTATTCCATTTCTAAAGATGTTTGGTGGCTAAAATATTATTTTATTAAATATGTGCATTAAAAAAAAATCTGTTTTGTTGTAATGCACCAAAGAAAATTACCTATAATCATTGAGAAATGCATAAAAATATTAATTTTATGCTGAGCACTGTATGTGCTTGCATGTGTGTATTTATGTATGCATAATATATATAAACAGCGCACATATATATTACGTCAAAACCAACTTTTATTTTAGATGCAACTAATTGCTATTCATTTTTGCCCAGCACTAATAGATATGTACATTTTCTAAAATGCAGTTTTAAAATGCATCTGGAAAGGGCATTGACTTTGACTTTGGTAAAGGTGTAAATACTAATACACCTCGTCGCGTGTTTTCATTTTTCTGCCTCGAGGTGTTGTTTTCCTGGAATTTGAGCTTTGTGAGTTCACCGCTGTCCTTGTCCTCAACAGAGCACGTTTGAAAAAGGAATGTGACGATTTCAGAAAACACCCAGAATATGAAAACTTCATCAGAGAGCAGACGGACACAGTGCATTCTGGGGAAGTTACGGGTAATCATGCATCTGTGTCCACTGAGGCAACAAGGGAACTGGAAGATGAAGATGAAATCAGCAGAAATATGAAGGAATATTCTGAGGAAGCAGGTGAGAAAATATATACTTTTGTTTGTTTGTTTGTTGGTTTATTCTTGCCTTTGTAAATGAGGATTACAGTGAAAAATGAGCTATCAAAATCAAAAGTTTCCAAGATTATTGAAAAATAGGAAAAAAAATATATATATATATATATTACTCATATAACCAAATGCATGGACTTTGTGTAGAGCAGGCATGTCCAAACTCGCTCCTGGAGGGCCGGTGTCCTGCAAAGTTTAGTTCCAACCCCAATCAGACACAACTTAGCTAATTAAGCTCTTACCAGGCTTTCTAAACATCCTTGCAGGTGTGTTGAGGCAAGTTGGAGCTAAACTCCGCAAGGCCCGGTTTTTCAAAAGGTTTAATCCGGATAAAAATGATCTGGATTTAGTAATCCTGTTTCTGTGATCCATGATCACGTAATCCAGCTGCATTTTTGATCCAGTTTTTCAAAGCAACATCGGATTGGATCTTTATTGGAACATTTCAGGATCACTAAATCTGGAGTGAACCAGTGCTCAAACAGGACAGGACATCACAATGTAGAACTATAGATATGTAAAGGGCAACAAGTAGAATTGCCAGTGTGGGGTCAATATAACTTTATTTGTATTTGAAATGAAAACACACACATTTAAAAAATAAAAATAAAAACAAGAAAAACCCCATTCCATTATTCTCTTTCAGCTGAAAAACCAAATGACATTTTTGGTGCCCAAAAATTATGTGTATCCCTATTAGTTTTCCGTACTAGTTTTCCATTTTCCAATTTAAGTAATTGAGTAGTTTTGTGTTTGGTTATATGTGTATCAAATCGGCTAATTCCTGCTGCTTTATTTTGCAGAGAATGTAAACCAGCTTGGAAATCACGTGTCAATATGCCTAGTCGACACACCCAAACTATTGATGCATTCTTCAGAGTCTGGACCCTTTACTCGCGGTTCAAAGCGCCGCCAAAGTGCTGCGATCACTGATGAAACGAGCCCAAGCAAGAAAGGCAAAATCGAAACAGAGAGCTCTTCGACATCAGAATATAATGTTCAAGCTGTATCTCGAGATCAAGCGACGGTTTCAGTATCGCCTGAGCCCACGAGTAGCTCACAGGGGACTTGCAAACCCATCCAGGCATTGCTGGCCAAGAGCGTTGGAAACAAAGTGACCTTAATAAGTCATCCTAAGGCTGCAGAGATTGCTCAGATTTCACGTGACCATAGGACAGCATCTGTAGCTGTGCACCCTGTAGTGTTAACTACCTGTCCGCCTACACCACATGCTAAAGAAACACTTGCACCAATTACAACTGAAAGCACTGGACAGGTGGTGTACAAGACGGCAGGTGGTGTAGGCCTTCTCAGTAAAGCAAGTACGTTTTCCATGCAGCAAATATCAGATCAAAAAACAGGAGAGAAGTTGATGCAAAAAGTTGTTATCCTGCCTTCAAATCTACTGATTCAAAGCACTGAGCAAAGGGCAGTGCAAGCATCTGCTTCTGTCTCAAAGAATACACCTTACTTATCAAATGCTTCAAGCTTCACCACACCGGAAAACAAGGTACCTGTCCAACAGGTGGCACCACTGAAGGATACCAGCACTGTTAGAACACCATCTGCTGTAGTTACACCCAGTTTAAGAGCTGTCGGTGTGCCTAAAAAGACTACTGAACCAAAGGTTGTAGGCAGTAGTGGACTGAACAGACCTGACGCTAAAGAGGAGCTCAGGACAGTGTGCATTAGAGACTCACAATCTATTCTCGTCACTACAAGAGGAGGCAACACAGGTGTGGTCAAAGTACAGACATCAGATAGTGGAACAGGGGTTTTACCTCCCAGTCCAGTTTTTACCATCTCACCGCAACTTCAAGCCTTTCTGGTGTCAAAGTCTTCCACGTTACAAGCTGTCTCGGCCTCCCCTGCTGCTAATTCTGTATCTGGAGTCACTCCTCAATCCCTCTCAAAGGATGGCGCTCATCCCAGCTCGTCTACTTTTGTGGCAGGAACTTCTTTGACCCTTAATAACACTTCTACCAAAACATCAGTCAATACATCTTCAAGCCTGGCCACAGGCAGATTCAGTGATAGTGTCATTATTCCAACAAAAAATGTTCAAGGAGTCCAGAATGTGGTCTCCAAATCTGGATTAAAGACCCCACAGAAGAGCACTCTACAAGAAACCAGACCTTCTGCCCAAACTACCTTCCAAAAGGTTTTTCTTGTCAATCCTTCACCTTCAGCAGCATCAATGCCTACCGTTACAACAGCAACCTGTTCCAAACCAGCACCACAGGTTATGTTTATAAGCAACTCAGCACTTACCATTCCAAAAGCTGTAGCAACTTCAGAGGTCAATAATTCCTCTGTTAGTACACCACCGATGAAGATCATTCCTAAGTTAGGGACAACTTCATCTAGCACTTCTTCTGGTACAAACGTCGTGAACATCGGTGTCCCAGGGTTAACATCAAGAATACTTGGTGCAAATAAAACACCTGAAGCCTCTATGAAAAGTACACCTGTGTTTGTCTCCAGGGTATCTTCGGCATCAGCCTCAAGTGGGTTGCAGATTGTTCCAAAAAGCAGTTTAGTTGCAAGCACATCAGGGAATACAGAAAGATCTCTGAAGGTTCCTGGGGCTGCTGAAAGCAAAATGCTCACATTTTCATCTTTAGGCACTGGCCACATGGCTTCCTCTGCACTTTTGTCAGTTGTAAAACAAGATGTACCTTCATCAGTTTCAACGTTAAATGCTTTTCATTGTAAACCAGTGTTTACATCTGGCAGCTCTACTTCCTCAAATTCAGGAAGTCTAATTACCAAACACACTACAGTATCAATTGATGTGGCCACTAAGCCAGTGATTGCATCCCTTTGCACTTCACGCTCACCGGTTAAAACAACAGCCAATTCTTGTGCTTCTGGTGTATCTCATTCTGTTGCAATAAGCCCAAACTCTCCTTCAACTCTTCCAATTGTCATGACTTCTGGGATTCGACCTCCAGCCACAACTAACAAAAGTGTTCATGAAAGAGTCGTAATAAACACCACTGCCCCACTTGCTCCAGGAACTCAGCTGCTAATAAACAACACCAGATTTGTTGTCCCATCTCAAGGCCTTGGACCTGGCACCCATGTCTTGCTCATCAGCTCAGGATCTGGAGGACAGCAGGCCTCAAGTACGGTTCATCCCAAAGGATTACAAATTACAAGTTCAGTTCGTTCTAGAGGACTGCACGTCCAGAGTCCTGCTCATCCCACAGGACTGCAAGTCCAGAGTCTTGCTCATCCCACAGGACTGCAAGTCCAGAGTCCTGCTCATCCCACAGGACTGCAAGTCCCAAGTACTGTTCATCCTAAAGGATTGCAAGTCACAAGTGTGGCTCCTTCTGTAGGATTGCAAGCCCCAAGTTCTGCTCATCCTGCAGAATTGCAAATCTCAAGTCCTGCTCGGCCTAAAGGATTGCAAGTTCCAAGTTCTGTTCATCTTTCAGGATTGCAAGTTCCAAGTTCTGCTCCTCCTGCAGTATTGCAAGTTCAAAGTCCTGTTTGTCCTGCAGGATTGCAAGTCTCAAGCCCTGTTCATTCGGCAGGATTGCACGTCCCAAGTCCTGCTTCTCCTGCTGTATTTCAAGTCACAAGTCCTGCTTGCCCCAAAGGATTGCAAGTTCCAAGTCCTGTTAATCCTGCAAGATTGCAAGTCTCAAGTACTGCTTCTCCTGTACAATTGCAACCCCCGAATCCTACTCATTCTGCGGGATTGCAAGTCCCAAGTCCTGTTAATCCTGCAGGATTGCAGGTTTCAAGACCTGTTCATCTTGCAGGTTTGCAAGTCTCAAGTCATGTTCATCCTGGGGGATTGCAGGCCCTTGGAGATTTACAAGCCCCAAGTTCTGCATCTACTGTTCTTAAAGGGCCAAAGAGTTTGGTCCCTTATACTGTTGCTTCAGTTGTACAAGGTGTAAGATTGGCAACTCCAGTCAGGCTTCCCTCGCCAATAACTGGGCCTTCCGGTCAAGTCCATCAGCAGCTAAACACCATAACTCCACTGAAGGTGGCTGGTCCTACTGCTCTCCCACAAGCGGCACTAGCTCTGCATCCTGGATCATCATCAGACATTGTAAGACTTCCTATCTTTCAAGCCTCCAAAGTCTCAGTTGCACCTTCACAAGGTGCGACTGGCATTCCCAAAGACACCTTATTTTCTCAAGGAGGCTTACTAAGCACAACTTCACCAATGCACTTGCAAGGAAAGTTATCACAAAACCAACTACCATCGGTCATACCCTCCACAAAAACCACCATAGTGCGGAATTCACCAATGGTTAATGTACCACCCATGAAAAGCACAGTTTCACGGATGCAGAAACTTCCAGTTGCAACTGTTCAACCCATCGGTGGTTCAGTAAACACCAGTTCAGCCACTCCTATTGCAACAGTTCCTCCATCTATGAACACAGTCATAATGACTCCTTGTCCGCCTGTTAGAGCTGTGCAAACAGGGACAATTGGAAAGCCTGTTATTTTACCCCATTTGCAACAAGGTCAACACACAGTTCCCATACAAGTTCCCACCTCTAGTAAACTATTGTTGAGCCCCGATGGTGCCGTTTTAAATATCATTCAAGCTTCGAGTGTACAAGTAATGGCAAAGCCAACAACCGGTCAAGTGGTTAGTTCCACCTCAAGTAGTGTTACGAATTTTACGCATGAATCATCAACTGAGAAAACATAACTTCTGAAATCATTCTAGAGGCCGTCTGTTGTCCTGTTGGGATTATAAATGATAATTGTTGAGAACAGGTTCGATTGTGTGGGCTTCTTTTGGTTCCATTTCTCCCAGTGTCGGAGGCTAAATACTAAAAATCTAAATTAATAATTTGTGCATTTTGCCCTCTACAATACAAATGGAAGGGAAATTGATTAAAACAAAGAGAAGTTTGGAGATTCCACATGGCCAGTAATGTACATATCAGTGTTTGTTCGGCTGACTCTTTTATACAGTTTGTATGGGATTGTTTGGATGTTTTGTAGCATTTTCCATTAAATGGTTAATTATCTAGCCGTCTTCAGTCTGCGTAAGATCTCAAGCCTGCGTTAGGACGTTCACAGATAGGTTTATTTTATCAGACCTTATCTGATAATGGTTTGGTTTTGTGTTTCCTCTATATTCATGAAATAAACTTGGCATATTTATGACTGATGGAAAGGTCTTGTGTTCTGTGCCTGCCTGTGGAGTTCATAAAACCCTTATGTACTGTTGGGGATGGGTTCATCCACTCTTGGGTATTAATTTGGCTGTAACGTTTCCTGTTTCAGCTAGCAAAATGATTCAAAATGCTTTGAGTTTTTAAAAACAATCTCAACATTATACTCAGGGCAAATTTATTAGCCTTTTGTTATGTTCGAGATGAAAACTGAATTAAACTGCAGTAAAAATAAATCAGATGCTTTTTTTTTGTATTATGTTGCATTAATCTGTTGATTAACCTCTGTCCTGATCAAAACTACTAAATTGCTTAGAAAAATTACAGAATTTTAACTCCTTAATTGCCAAATTCATAAATGATCACGCTGATTTGGTGAAAAAGCACACACAAAATGACGTATTATTAATATAAAAAGTAATTGTGGACTGGATTTTTTAACCTTTTATCAAAGTCTTTGACGTGAAGCAACATTGCCTTTAATGCATTGATTTTAATAAAAGACTAAATCTCTTTAATATACTGTTGGTGCCGATTTTCATGCCATTGACTTCCTTTATAACCACATTTTTTGATTGTAAAGCCATGACATGGTTTTGATTGTTGCTGGTTTTCCCTGTTTGGAAGAGGTCAAATTTGTAATTTTTACTGTTGATCATCAGTTTCTCACCGTTAATGCTTTGATAGGCCTGTGCAAAAAAAAAAAAAACGTAGTTTCTGTATTTTATATGGAGTATAACAGCAAATTAAAGTGTGCATGTGTGTCTGTGAGTGTGAGAGTGACCTTTACGCACTTACCTTGATGTGTCTGAAAAAATCTAAATATGCACCTCAGCTCCCAGAACTACATGGAGTAAACAAAAACAAAGACTGTGTATTTATACACCATCAAATGTGATTATAATGGAAGTCAATGGGGCAAAAACATCCGGGGAGAAAAATGAAAATCTAACAATGCATCAAAGCCAATGTTGTTGCTAATCATGCACATGTCCAAGACTGTGATAAAAGGGAGAAAAAATAACCCAGTCCACTTTTACAGTGAAAATACATCAATGTGTGTGTTTTCACCAGATCAGTGAGATCATTTATGAATTTGGCAATTAAAGAGTTAAAGTGCTGTAATTTCCTAAGCAATTTTGATCAGGACTGAGGCTGATTAACAGATTTATGCAAAATAATATATATATATATATATATATATATATATATATATATATATATATATATATATATATATATATATATATATATATATATATATATATATATATATATATATATATATATATATATATATATATATATATATATATATATATATATATATATATATATATATATATATATATATATATATATATATATATATATATATATATATATATATATATATATATATATATATATATATATATATATATATATATATATATATATATATATATATATATATATATATATATATATATATATATATATATATATATATATATATATATATATATATATATATATATATATATAAATATAAATATATATATATATATATATATATATATTTATATATATATATA